CGTCGTCGGTGAATGGTACTGTTTTTGTGTGTGATATACATAAGAGTGAACTATGACGGGATTTTATTTTTCATATTAATATTCCACGTTTGTGTGCGACCTGGTTAGTGAAGCTGATTTGTGGTTCTAATAAGGTGAGAACGACGACTAATTGGTCATTTGTTCGTCTATCTTGAACTGTTTTCTAGCCGTGTTATATACCCATAATAACTTTTTTCTGAAAACGTCTACATATTTTCTACGCTAGAGAAATTAAGATTTATAAGTTTCAAATAGCTGATATAAAAATCGCCCCATGGGTAATTTTATTGCATTTCATATATATATATATATATATATATATATATATATATATATATATATATATATATATATGTAATTTTTCATCTCTTATTTGTTACCTAATCCTATTGCTCTCAGGACTGCAACACTTACGAGCGTCGTTGTACAGAATGAATTTCAGCATATTTACGACTTATCCATTAGTAGGAATTAATCTGTAAGAAGTACCAGATGTCATGTAGTAATTTATTTAAGCATATAGCTTTAGATGTGATGCAGTTAAGCAGATAGGTTTTCATCATGGCGTTAATGTCGGATACCATTTTCATAGTATTCTATACGTGGGTGTCAATAAGAAATGGTAAAACCATGTTTGTCACCGATTTTATGATTATCTAGTTTTCTTTAGTGTGTTCATTTTTCTGGGAAAATATTTTTTTCTGTTTATTTTCTTAACTTAGCATAAATTTGTCCATATTGGTACAACTTTAGTTAGTTTATAGCTTGAAGCACGTGATGAAATCATGTGATTCATTTTCTCGACCACCAGCTAGATTCTAACAGTAAAAGTACGATTGATGATAAATCCTGGTCTCATATTTCAAACAAATACGCATTCAGAAAAATCTTGTTTTGACTTTCTGAACACTCTGAGATTATATTAAAATACGCTTTTATAATGATCATTTTCAAAGTTTAGATTTCTCTGTTAGAATTATTTTTATTTCACTTCAGTTAATTTCCCTTATACCGCAGCTGATTTCAATTATTTTCCTACTTGTTTCTTTTTTCTTTGAAATGTGTTCGCGTATCAACGTTATTGTGCAGTTTCTTTCTGATTGGTAATTTTTGAAAACAGAAAAATTAATCGCTTTATTTAGGAGAGGAGAACTGCTTGTCCCAAAGCTCAAAGATATAAATAGTAATGGTATAGTGAAAGAAGTTTAAATGCTTACATATTGATGCAACATCATGAAGTGTCCAACCCTGATTCTTAGCCGAGCAGATAAGTTTAAATATCCTGGTAGAGCTTCATATGGGGAATAAAAGTCGATTTTCACAGAGTAAACCATGTTGCTGAAAATCAGCTCAAGTGGAACAAATTTATCGAAGTTATTCACTTACTCATATTTTAAAAGCTTGGTCACGATTCCTTTTTCAACGCTTTCTCCTTTTTTCCATCTTTGTAACTCTCCCATCCTTGTTGTAACTTCTCTCTCCACTAACGTGAAATGTGACAACTTGAACCGATATGCATCAGTTTTATCATTTCGTTCCCGTTTGTCTGACAATATGCTCCTAAATCCCACACATTCTTGCCATTTAAAATGGGGATCCTTTGTACAAATTTCTATTGTTTCCAGTATTTTTCTATACTTTTTTGATATCTTTTGGGCACAAAATTTTAGGTTTCACTGCGAACCGAGTAAGCGAAAAACATCTTTTTCATGTCTTAATTTTCCTGAACTTTCCTGAAAGCAAACTTCATGCATTCAATTTTGATAAGCACTGCTAAAGGTGATAATTGTCAATCCGATTGTTAGCGAATAACTATTTTCGCTTTTTGATTGGTTTAAACACAACCTAGATAAATTTTTCTGACCAATTAGTGATAATGTGTTCAAGGTTGTTTTTCATCGGAGCTAAATTTCGAATTACCCAAGTCTTATTCATTGGAGGGGTTGTTATTTTATCACAAAAATATAGGATAGTAAAATCATTAATAGTAAACCTTTCGTCATAAAATGACGAGCCAATTTAACTGTGATAAAATTGACGAAGCTTTTGGGAATTTATTATATTTGTCCGATGACTGCCCAATATCCAGACAAAATCATTCTCAGTGTAAGTCATTATCTTTCTTTTTTTTTGGTATCCACATCTTTTTTTCTCTCCACTTTCTAAATAATGTAATGAACAGATTTTGAGCATACATAGTTTCAGAATTTTCGGAACATCTTGAACAGAATTCTACTCATATTTAGCATACGTTTCGTATCTTTTGTTTAGTTTGTGAATAGGGGAATTTCGTTGTCGGGTGCGTTGAATGATGCACTTGTTTGTGAAGTCGCAACAACCTAAATGGGTTAGTTGCTGAAGAAATCTCAGCTAGGATTCAAATTACCTGTTTGGCACTTGCTAAATTGCGTCATTTGTTGTATTTGTGAAATATCCGACTACCTGTTAAAGGATGAGTGTAATGCCCTACAATCTTTTCTATTTTGTCGTTCGAATGTGAGATATGAGCGTTGATAGCAGATGCGATGAAAGCACACATTTTTGACCACATCTGTCTTCGCAGTATTGTTAACGTGTGGTGGAATCACCGTGTAGGCAGTGGGAATGCTAGGAAACCAAGTCAGTTGATGAAGTTAGGACATGTATTGCTCACGCTGAACCACCACTTCATTGACATCCAATGTCAATCGACGTAAGGTTGGGTTGTAAAAAGGCTCAGAATGATCTGCTCAAGAAGTGACACTAGTCCATGAAGTTTTTGACTGTTTATCTCAGCCGTGTATGAAGGTGTAGACGAGAGACAAAAGGATCCAATGGTTTGAGACGCTTGATAGCATGGCTGGTCACAATGGCGCAGACGCATACACTGTTTTCAGCTTAGAAATCTTGAATATTTCGTCAACCTTGGTTTATTTATTTGTTCTCCTTCCATAATTTAATATTGTTCTTTTTCTATTTTCTTCCTTGCATGATACTGTGAATTGTAACAACCTGAACCAATGCATTTCTTTGTAGGCTTCTGCGTTGATCTTTTCGACTGTTTGATATTATTACAAAAGGCCTGAATATTTGAGTGGTAAAGTTTTTAACTTCCAGATTCAGTAATGTGGACTCGAATTACTAAATCAACACCAGTTAACCCATGGTGGTAGATAGGCTTTGTCGATGAGTGCCAGCAAGCACTAAGCGTAGGTCAAGTAGGTCTTTCTGTTGCTTGGCTGCTAACATCCAGCATGAAAATATAGTGCACCGCGAGTCTCTTCACTTGGCTTCGTTGCTAAATTGTCGACTTGGATTATAGATAGTGCTAAACACTTAGGACTAAACCGCCATATTAGTTACCCACTGATGATCAGTTCATGATAATTTTTAGCTGTATAGGATTCTTAGTCCCCTCATTATTTATTATACTTAAGGTGTATATCGCCAGGAAATTATTCTTCAACTTCTACATATTTAACTGGAAAGGTAACTAAATTTTGCTACGAGAGTAAATACTACATAATCTAACTCAATATGTCCAGTTCTGCAGAACCTGCTGTGTAAAACCCATGATGTTATGACCGAAAGTTGACGACAGCAAAACGAGTGCATTTACTCAGTCTCGAGTATCTTGCCACTCTATACTTACTCATAATCCCTCTAGTTTGATTTCCACTGATCATCTTAATATTTTTTTTCACTTGGATTGATTCACTGTGTTCCATTGAAATTGATCGTATTTTCATTCTATTCAAGTGTGTACAAGGATCTGTGTTTTTCTGTTTATTACTAGGGAGTTGATGCTTATCAATAACAAACACTTATACTCACACTATCAGGAATTTCAGAATCATTTCCGATGAGCTCAGTAGAAATAAAAGTGTTGTTTTATATCAACGTCTCCTTAAAAATGAATTAGGACTTCAACAAATTACCCTTTAGGGTATGTCTGCTAATTCAAATACTATACTTGTCAAAGCCAACTTTGTTGAAGAACGATAGGTTGAGGTTTAGGTTAGAGTGAACCAATTAGTCTGTTTCTGTGTATCTCTTACATCCTTCAAAGCAGCTAATTGTGTCAATGTGTACTTTTTCGAATTATCGTTTGCTGTTTTTGTTTAGAATAAATACTTGCACAATGGTTATTTTTTTGATCGTGTCATTTATTTCCCAAAGAACTACTATCTCATCATTCTTAATGTCATCGTGTGATAACTGCCGCTGTAAATCTACTCTATTTCATCTAGTAGTAATGCACAATATCGTTGTTGTTTTTTTGGGGGGTTTTTTCCCCAAAATCACTTCTTAATAATACACCATTTAAACATCTAACTTCATAATTTCAAGCATTCTTCGTTTTCATTACAATATTCATGATAAAGGATGCATACGAAAACCATTGCGATACAGGCTAACCTCTGAATGATAACTTGGTTTGTTGGTTATGTAATGCTCAGTGAATATTGATACAATAATGAGTAGGATATTATCATCAGCTTGATCAGTGTCATCGGAGACAAAGCTATAGTGCAAAGCCTTCTACCAACCTAACAAAATGTAAAACATCCTATTTTTCGCCACCCTTTTACATCAAGTATACACTTTTAATTAGTCTGTATAACGGTACCTTATAAATTGGTCTAAATTGAATAAAATTGGTCACAGAGCAAATATTAGGGTATCTCAGACTTAAGCTTCCTAGAATTTCCGATCATCTAAAGATATTTTTAAAATAAAGTTTTCTTATACTTAGAAGTTCGTTAGATCACCCTTTAAAGCAGCTGTGCTGAAAATCTCGCTTGACAGTGAACTAATTTTACAAATATTTCCTTAAATCAGTGTAATGCAGTGTACTAGAATTTGTTTTATCACACATTAACCTTTCTGCCTGGTAGTCAAATAAACTTATTTTTGTTGGAATATTTTACTATACGTGAGTAATGTGCTGATTTTATGCTAATTTCCACTCACAAAAGACGTTTTCTTTTTCCGTATAGATTCGTCAACAATCAGTCCCTCGAATAATCTACCTGGCTATTCTCCATATGTTGGACAGAATCATCTTGGAAATGGAACACAACAGAAATACGCTTCCGTAAGTTTAAATTTTGAATTTTATTGCTAAATTTTAGGGAGATTTAGCGGTTACCGTCATCGTTTTTCATGCCACCTAGTCAAGTAACTAAGTTCCGTTTTTACACGTTGATAGTTTAATTAACTACTACTAAAGATACTTTTGTTAGTCAGTTTCTCCTTTTTATGTAATATTCACCTTTCTTCGTCCGTAACTAACGCTAATTAGTTCTGTTAGTACTTCTTCCTTTAAAAGAAGATATTGTGAGCGTCAGTTTTGCTTAAGTAAATAATTCTTGCTGTATATATATATATATATATATATATATATATATATATATATATATATATATATATATATATATATATATATATCGTTGACAAACTTAGCGGCTAAGCAATGTAGTGGTTTAGAACAGAGTTTCAGGTATAAAGGTATATCATCTGAAATACATTACAGGTTAAGGTAAGAGTAGACGGAAAACGTTTCACTCCATAAAATATCTGATTGTTAACCTGAATCATGTGGGTGGGTAATTTGGGTTTCTTTGCTGAAGTTTGCAGTGACGTGGAAACTGGGACTTATATATGACGGGCTGACAATGATCAAAATTATTCTTCCCCCAGATTTCACATTATTTCTTATACCGATCACCATCCCACAAAAAATTAGCTCAGTTCTAAGCCCATCAATTTTTTTATGGTGTCGTCAACACTCATCAATATTTAATCTTTCACAATTAAATTCAACCGCACTACATCAAAAACTGAATACTCAGTATTTATTACTCCTTTTATAAAAACACTTGAGGGAATTTCAACGTTTTTCACCATTGTCAAACCGACTTACCGATCTGAAAGGATATTTCACATTTCATTAACTAAAGTGTTACACTGGCTCAAATGCTTTTTACGAATGTCAACTCTTGCCTTGTAATTTGTGTGCCGAGTATGTTAATATCTAAAAAGTAGGTAATGAGCTGAATGAAGTTGTCATAGTCTTTGGTATGGAAAGTGAATGGCATTGAGTGAAATGTAGCTTCATTAAATGTCTAAGTATAGGGCACTAGAAATCCCAATTTGCGTAAAAGATAATCAGTTAAATGCAAGCAGTCCTGAAGAAATGGGGTTGAAATTGTTTTCAATGCATAATATAGTCTGATCATATTTGATGTTCCTTCCATATTCGTTTCACTTACAAATTTTCTGTAGTAAAAGGTTGTCATCATCGTTCACGGATTCGATTATGTTTGTCTGCAGTTTATGCTCTTATATTTCTCAGGAAGATTTTCCATTCATTGAATGGAAAGTATTTGTACATGAAGATAATGGTAACTGCCACTAGTTTACCCACCCGCTTCAATAAACTAAAACCGTGCTTTATTTGGATCGCTTTCCACTTTTCTATAGCACATGAAACTGCCTTGTATGCATTCATTTTATTGTTTAGTCATTCATTTTATTCAGGTTACATTTTCGCTTCTTTATTGTGTCAATAATTTTAAAGGTATTCAATTTTATGCTGAATACGCAAACATATTGTGTCAATTAGATGATTAGTGTAATACAAAAACAAGTAAAAAAAGAAATAATAAACAGATTTGATGATTGCTTGCCGGTATATATTTATTATTATTATTATTAGTCCCTTGGGTTCCTAGTGGAACATAGGGCTTCAGTAGCACGCCTCCAGTGACCTCTGTTCTCTGAGATCTTTTGAACCTGGTTCCACGACAGCCCAGAAGCTCTCATTTCCTCCTCGCACGACCTCCTCCATGTCACCCTCGGACGTCCAACTCGTCGCTTCCCATGGGGATTCCACTCGAGGGCCTGACGCGTGATGTCCTCAGTCGGCCTTCTCAGTGTATGCCCAATCCATCTCCACTTCTTCCTGCATATTTGTTGCGTGATAGGTTCTTGGTTGGTTCGTTCCCAGAGTTCCTTGTTGCTTATTTTTTCTGGCCATCTGATCTTCAGCAGCGAGCGTAAGCAGTTGTTGATGAATGTCTGTAGTTTATTGGAAATGCCTTTCGTGACGCGCCAAGTCTCTGAGCCATACAAGAGCACTGACTTGACGTTGGTGTTGAAAATCCGTATCTTGTTCCGCATGCTGAGTGCAGAAGATCTCCACACTGGTTTCAGGCTAATGAATGCCTGTCTTGCTTTTCCGATTCTGACTTTGACGTCCTCGTCCGTCCCGCCTGTAGTTGAAACAGTGCTTCCTAGATAAGTGAAGGAGGTTACTTCCTTCAAGTTTCTACCGTTGACGGTGATTGGAGTTTGTTGTTGTTGTTGATGGTGGTGGTGCGGTATCTTCATCACTTCTGTCTTCTCTATATTCACCTGAAGTCCCGTCTTAGCTGCCTCCTCTGTCAACTTGTTAGTTTTTGCCTGCAGATCTTCAAGTTTATGTGACATTAGGCATAAGTCATCGGCGAAATCCAAGTCTTCTAGGTTCTTTTCCGTCGTCCAGTGTATCCCCCTCTTCTCGCTGCCTACTGTTTGCTGCATGATCCAGTCCACCACAATAGGAATATCATGGGGGATAGTAGGCAACCTTGTTTCACTCCTGTCTTCACTTCAAAGGCATCACTGAGCTTCCCATTGTGGATTACTTGGCATGTGGCATCTTCATATAGTTGTTGAATGAGGCGGATAAAGGTTTGCGGTACTCCGTAGTATTGAAGCAGTTTCCAAATTACTTCTCGGTCGACGCTGTCAAAGGCCTTCTCAAAGTCGATGAAGTTGAGGTATAGAGCTGATTGCCATTCTACGCTCTGTTCTATGATGATACGAAGCGTTGCAATTTGGTCAGCACATGATTTGTACTTCCTGAAGCCTGCCTGTTCCGGTCGCAGTTTTGAATCCAGTGCGTCTTTAAGCCTCTCCAGGATGATGCGGCTTAATATTTTACTTGGGGTGGATAGGAGAGTGATTCCTCGCCAGTTCTTGCAAGCACTGAGGTCTCCCTTCTTCGGCAGTTTGACAAGGTAACCCTTCTTCCAATCGTCAGGTACCTTCTCTTCCCTCCACACCTTCTGCAATAGTGGTGTGAGCATGTCCGCTGTTGTCTCTGCATCTGTTCTCAGTGCTTCTGGCGGTATTCCATCTGGTCCTGCTGCTTTCCCGCATTTCAGTAGCTTTATGGCGTTCAGGACTTCCATTTTCGTTGGGGGATTTATGTTCACTTGTAATTCAGCGGCTGCAGGTGGTATTTCTGGACGAAGTGCAGGTGGTGGTCGATTCAAGAGCTTCTTGAAGTGGTCGGCCCATCGTTTCCTCTGTTTCTCTTCTTTTGTAATTAAATTTCCTTCTTCATCTTTTATTGGTTTCATCTGTGTTGGTCTCTTCCCTGATAGCAACCTGGTTATTTGATACAATGTCGTCAGGTCTCTCTTACCTGCAGCCTGTTCTGCTTCACTTGCCAGTGTGTCGTAGAAGTGTCGTTTGTCTTTGCGTGCACTCTTCTTCACTTCTTTATCCAGTGTTTTATACATTGTGCTCAGTTCCTCTTGTCGTTGAGCATCCTTGCACTGGTTTATCTTCTGCTTCACCATCCTCCTCTCCTCTATCAGCTTCCAGGTATCCGTCGAGATCCATTCCTTGTCTTCTTTCTTCTTCCTTCCTAATACTGTTGTGCAGGTTTCTTTCCACATAGCTTTCAAAGACTTCCAGTGTTCTTCCACACAGGTTTCTTCAGGGATGTCCCTCGACGTCTCCCATTTTGTCTTGATGGCTGCTTTGAAGATCTCCTTTGTAGTTTCATCCTTCAGTTTCCGAGTGTTGTACTTGAATTGAGGTCTATCACCAGCTTCCTTGAAGGCTTTTAACTTGATTTGGAAGGTTCCTTGCACTAGATAGTGGTCTGAACCTACATCTGCTCCTCTTCTTGACCTTGTGTTAAGTAGACTGCGTCTCCATTTTCTTGAGATTGAGATAAAGTCGATTTGGTTTTTAGTGTGTCCATCTGGTGAAATCCATGTCGCTTTGTGGATATCCTTGTGCCTGAACACACTGCCTCCAATCACCAAATCGTTGAATGCACAGAATTCTGCAAACAATTCTCCATTCTCATTCATTTCACCTAGCGCCTCTCGACCCATGGTTAGTTCTCTTCCCGTGTTGTCCCCTCCCAGTTTGGCATTCATGTCGCCCATTAGAATTTTGATATCGCCAACTGACGTCTTGTCCAGTGTTGACTGAAGTTGTCTGTAGAATTCCTCCTTTTTCTCTTGCTCTGCATTATTTGTAGGTGCATAACATTGTATGATTGTGACCTTTCTTCCTTTTGAGTTGAATCTTGCTGTCATGATCCTGGAGGAGATTGGTTCCCACTGCATGAGAGCCTTCGATGCTCTTGAGGACATCATGATAGCCACTCCCTCAGTGTGCTCGTGGTTGGCGTCTGGGTGACCGGAGTAGATTATTGATTCTCCCGTTGACAGTTTGGAGAGTCCACTCCCATTCCATCTGCTTTCGCAAATCCCAAGCACTTCGATGTTATACCTTCTCATCTCCTTTGCAATCTGGGCTGCCTTACTGGGTTCAAACATCGTGCGGACATTCCATGTCCCCACGTTTACTTTCGCTTTCATCGAGAGAAGACACATCGGCCAATTGGCTTCCCGAAGGCTTTCACCAACTGGCGTCATTTCGCCTCTCCGATTCCAGCGGGGAATAAGTTTGTTTTCATTTTTTATATTTTGTTTGTGCTTTGAAGTTTCTTTAGCGGTTAGATTTGTTTTACGGGGTAGGGTTGCTAGCCCTATGCCCAACCTTCCCTCTTTACCCGGGCTTAGGACCGGCTAGTAACTAGTAAACTAGTTAACCAGGCGAGGTTGCCGGTATATATATCCCGATAATATTAGTTTTTTTGGTTTACTACCTTCTTGTCGCATGTTTGCAAGAATCTACTTGTAAACGCTCGTTGTTACTCGATGATGCCAGTAGTTTAATGAATATCCTAATGAATGATTACTCTACGCTATGATTACATTTATTCCTCATTGGCTATTTTGCTTG